TAGAATAAAACCTGTACGTCTAACTCATCGCCCTTGACAATTAGGTATTTTTAATCCTGTTTGCTTCATTTATTAAAGCGATGTCAGCGTCAGGAAATAAGCCTGAGTGCCTTTCCGTTGCCCATGCACTTGGCGTGTGGTCATTTCTTGTTGCCACATACGGGTGTGAGGTGTCTGCCCAGCGGCTGCTCCCGCGTGCTGACCCTTCCTCCCGGGCGCAGGCTCTTCCTGTCTCCCTGGAACCAGCACCAGCCATTGCGCACACGTGTGTGCAAGCAGGCTTGTGCACGCGCGCATGTGTGTGCTCATGTGTGTATGTGAGCGTACACACGTGCGTGGTCGACACCCGACGTGACTAACTTACCAACGACTTTTTGGAACTCAGCTCATTTTTCAGACGTGAGATTGGACGCTTGGTGTCCTCTCAAGCTTTTTGTAAACGACGTAGCTTGAGTCCTAGGAGATACTGGGGACAGGCAGCCTCCTGGACGTGCCGTTGATTCTGGAACCTCCCTGCACGCACGAGGCTTGGCCTGGGGATTAGGGCACCCTTGCCAGGACTCGGATTCGCAGGGTGGTTGTGTGAGGGAGGCACGGCGTTGCTTGGACGTCCGTCTGTGACGTTCCTCGTGGAATTCATTGGGATTTGGAAGGTTAGCAGCCTTTGCATGAACTGCCGGGGCTTCCGGGCTCCATCCACGTGGTAGCGAGTTCTCACTTGACTCCTTTTCACGACCGAGCAAGAGTCCACTGTGAGGATGGACCGTCTTGCTTGCCCGTCATCCCCTGACATTGGGCTTGTTCCTCTTTCTGTTACGAATAGTGTTGCTGGGAGCTTGTGTGTGTTCACTACTCTTGGGTACGAAACCCTCTGAGGGGGCTGGTGGTAACGCTGTGTGGTCTCTCGAGGAGCTGTCACACTGTCCCCCAGTGGCTGCACCCCTGGATGTTCTGACCAGCAATGGGGGAGGTTCCAGTGTTTTTACACCCTTATCAGCCCTTGTGACCGTCTGACTGGTCTGACGGATTCTAGCCACTCTGGTGGGTGTGAAGTGGCCTCTTGTGGTTTCGGGGTGCGTGTCCCTGATGACCGATGGTGTTGGACATTGCTCACTGGTCATTTATGTGTCTTCTTTGAATGAATATCTGCTCAGGTCCTTTGCCCATTTTAAAAATGGGTTCTTTTTCTTTTTACCAAGTTGTAAGCATTCTTTATATATTCTGAATAAGCTCTCATATCAGATGTATGATTTGTGGATATTTTCATGGGCTGTCTTCTGTCTCCCTTTCCTTCCTTCCTTTTCTCCCTTTCATTTTAAGTAGGCTGCGTGCCCAGTGTGGGGCTCGAACTCACGACCCTGCGGTCACGTGTCACACACTGCATGAATGAGCCGGCCAGGCGCCCTGTCTTTTTCTCCCCTTGAGAGTGTCCTTGGAGGCATAAAAGTTTTTAATTTTGACAAAGCCTAGTTTATCTGTTTTGTTGCTTGTGCTTTTGGTGTCCTGTCTGAGAACCCGTTGCCCAAGCTGAGAGTGAGGAGATTTTCTGAGTTTTGTAGTTTTAGCTCTTCTCTTTAGTCGTCAGTCCATTTTGAGTCACGTCTTCTTTGAGAGAGGAAAATCCTGCAGGCATGTAGTGGCCTCTGGCTCCCAGCCCCGGAGCAGAGATTCGAGCGGGTCTTCGTCCTCTTGTCCTGGGAGGGGGTGCCCCCCCCCCCGCTTTTCTGAGCGGAGCCCCCACCGGAGGCCTTGGCTGAGACTTCACCACTGTCCCGGGGCAGGTGAGGGACGTCGGCTGGCAGGACGGGACTGGATTTTACGACAAGCTGCTGGATGGTCAGGAAGCTCGTCACCTCGGCTTCTCCTAAATTTGCCCGCCTCCCACTTGGAGAGTCTTAAAATGACCTGCGTGTGTTTCCTCTCCCAGATGCGGACTTGACGGTGACTGAAGCCAGTAGCTCTGACAGTCGCGGGGAGAGGGCTGAGCTCTTTGGCCACGTGGACGAGGGTCTCCTGGGAGGAGAAGCCAGCTACCTGGGCCCGCCCCTGACCCCGGAGAAGGAGGAGGCCCTGCACCAGGCCACCGCCGTGGCCAACCTGCGGGCGGCGCTCCTGAGTAAGAACAGCCTGCTGTCCCTCAAGGCCGACATGCTCCGGGACGACAGCTCCCTGCTGCTGGACTACCTGCCCAAAGGCACCCACTCCCTGTCCCGTAAGTGCTTTGGAAGGAGATGAGGTGGTGGGCGGGGGGGCGCGTCCGCGGGAGAGGTGCGGTGGGGCGCGCGGCTGCAAGGGCCGCGGCGGAGCAGTGGATGATGTGTGGTTGTTAGGGAACAGCAAGTGCTTGTTCGACCGTTTCACGCTGAAATCGAGGCATCTGAACCAAAAACCTCGTCAAACTTTAGAAGTGCGGGGCCTCTAAACGGGAGCCGTGTGTGGGTCCGGAAGGGGGACCGGGATGGCAGCCTCTGTGCAAAGGGACAGGCGTGGGCTCCCTCTGCTGGCCCTCGTCCCGCCTTTGTGCCCGTTCACTCGCAGTGGGGAGCGACGTGCGCACATCCTTGCTTTGTTTCCGCTAGATAATGCCGCTTGCACGCCAGTGTTTTTAAAGGAATTGGATGTTGTTTGCTACTTAAATGTCTCCAGCCGATTTCCAGTTGTTCGGGAGCAAATGACAGACTAACCTGAGAAGCGGCTAAAGGTGCAGCCAGAGGTTCGGCCGAGCTGCCAAGCAGCGGGCTCCCCCGGAACTTTCTTCCCCCAACAAGACACAGGGCATTTGGCTTTCTCCTCTAACGGCCTGTGAGCCCGCGGGGTGCAGCCCGAGAGCGAGCCAGGCGCTCTGAAGATCCATTCTGGGGACGCTCATGGACCGTGGCGGCCGCCCGGATGGTGTCTCTGGCCATCCGAGGAGAAACGCGCTGTGTTTGGTTGGTGCTCACCATGGGTGCCAGAGGGAACGAGGTGCGGGGGGCACACCCCAAAACGGGAGGCCCCGAGTGCAGAGGGGGGCCCGCGGGTGTGAGCGCGTGGATGGGGCCTGCGTGGCGGCCAGTGTGGACACGGTGGCTTCCTGATTACCGCTGGAGGAAGGGAAGCCATCTCCTATGTTGGGGATTTGGGAAGTGCATCCTTGTTTTCATTTTTACTCTGATTTTAAAAAGCCAGTATTTTTACAAGTTTGTTTTCATGAGCGCTAAAATACCCTAAGTTTCTGTGTTGGAGCGATGAAATTTGCTTATGGCTAATAAAGACGCAAGTCGGAGCAATGCTTCTGTTTCTTCATTTCCTGGCACGTCATCAAGAGCCCAGGCCACCGTCTGAGCAGCCTGGACGCCGTGCTCAGTTCACGGGGCTTGGCTGTGAAGTCAGACCCTACACTGAATACCTCGTGGACAGGCTGCTTGGCTTTGGGCACGCTTTCGAAGACACGTTTATGCCTCAATGCCCCATCTGAAAAATGCATCACACAGCTGTGGGGAGTTTAAGACGAAGTAGCGTCTGTGAACCCTTGAATGCATGCTCCCAAATGTTGGTCTCGCCCCGCCTCAGAGCTGGGCTTGTGCCATCCCAGGGCACTGGGGGGTCGACTGGGCAGGTCTGTGCATCTCGTGGAAGGAGCCCGTGGGGATGCGGCTGGGAACTTGTGGCTGTGTGGAGAGGTGGGGGCACACTTGTTCGGTCCCCCCATAACACTTCTAATGCACGTGTGAGTGCCACACATCTTGGGCTGTGGGCGGGCCAGACCAGTGCCCATCTCTGCTGTCAGGGCTGACATTGGAATGAGGGGTGATTCTCGATGCTTTTCACTTGTCTTCCTGTCTGCCAGTCTTCGCCTCCCATGTGGGCAGGTCCAAAAGGCCTTTGGTGCATCTCTGCTGGGAACTACACTAGACCGGGTCTGGACCCCGCTCCTGGTGCGGCACCAGCGGCCACCCCTACTGGGCCCCTCTGTCTGGGCCCCACTCCTCCCCGGGGCCCCAGACCCTCCTGCAGCAGGTCTCACACCGGGGTGAAGCCCCACAGGATTGCATCTCCTGGTGGGCTTTTCTCCCCGAGCTTCATCTTTGTGTGTGGGTCGCCGGACCCTGTATTAATACCTCTTCACGCTGGAGTGAGGCAGCGACGCCTGCCCCGGGCGTGCTCTGGACACACGCGTGATTGTCAGACTCTGCTCTTCACAGTTTGGAGGGAGTGGAGAGAGCTGGGACGTGAAGTCCTCTCCTGTTTATTTTTAGTACATCTGTGACTAATTCCGGGTGAAGTCACCTGGTGGGTTTTGGTATTTTGTTATTTCTGTTATGTTTTAATCTCCTTGCTTTTAATATTCTAAATTCCCCATTTTTCTTGTAAGAACCTACCAGAGGCAGAGGGGCCAGAGAGCTTGGTGGGAAAATGGGTTATTTTAAAAATATTATTTTCTGACATCTTAAGTAAAGTCTGTCTGTTTCCAGGTATATACTAAAATGAGGAATGAAAATATCCAAATAAAAACTTTGTTTCCGGGGCGCCTGGGTGGCTCAGTCGTTAAGCGTCTGCCTTCGGCTCAGGTCATGATCCCAGAGTCCTGGGATCGAGCCCCGCATCGGGCTCCCTGCTCGGCGGGAGGCCTGCTTCTCCCTCTCCCGCTCCCCCTGCTGGTGTTCCCTCTCTCGCTGTGTCTCTCTCTGTCAAATAAAAAACAAAACAAAACAAAACAAAAACTTTGTTTCCCAGAACGTTGTGGTCGGCTGCCATGGTAGCCCCCCCACCCTCCCCGCCCCTGGCGGGCGGCCTCGCAGAATCAGGCTGAGGCTGAGCGGTCGTCCTGTGGTTAAGACGTGGTTGTGGCAACCTGTTCGGTCACTTGTGTTGGAGACGTTTGTCCCTGCGGAGGGTTACCTGTATTAGCCGGGTGGCCTGAGCCACCGCCACGTATCTCGAGATCCCGAGAGGGAGCCGGAGCGACTCCGCGAGTCCATGTGTGTCGTCCGTCTGTCTGCTCCGTGCTGCCCAGTTTCTCTAAGCGCTCGCAGCGAAGCGTCAGGACAGGCGGAAGCCCGCGTCGGTCGCCTCTCCGCCACCGCTGCTGGTTTCTAGATGCGCCCTCGTTGGCAGGACCGAGTTTTCTGTCCGGTTGAACGCGGTGTAGCTCTGGCGACTTGGTCCCGTGTTTCTCGCCTCGCTCCCCACCGAGGGCGCTCCTGCTTTGTCGGGATGGGGACCCTCCTCGTGCGCCAGAGCCCCCAGGTACCCGTGTGGTGGCTGAGCAAGAGATTGTGTGCGTAAGGGGCTTAACGGCACATCCGAAGAGGCACACTGAGAGCAAAGCAGAACAAGGCCCCCATGCGTACCTCGGGGGGCGGACACCCCGGTTCCGCTCAGGCGGGCGCAGGGGCCTCTGTGCTCCCTCCACAGGCGGCTCGGGAGGGAGGTGGGGCCTGTGCGGTGGTGCTGGGCGTCCTCAGACCCTGGAGTGAAGGTGGGGAGCGCCCGATGGCTGCACTTGGTCTCCCAGCTCCAGGCTCCTTGAGCTGGTTGTTAACAGTGGACGTTTTATTATGATTTTCGGAGTGCCCAAAACTGGGTCCACATCCCAGCAGACGTAGGCTCGTCGTCGGAGAAATGAGGAGAAGGTGTGAAGTTTAGCGGGAAGCAGCTCTGGCACAGGATGTGCTGTGGGGGGGCTCCCGAGGCCGGTCGCGATTCTGCCTGGCCTTCCGAGGAGGGAGCACTGTGGGGCGTAGGTGGTCTGCTAGTTTTGTGAAAGAAAGGGATGACAGTTGCAGGTGTTTAAAATCAGGGGACCATTAAATGTGCAGGCAGTGCTCAAGCCGTGATGAGCAGCCAACATTCACCTTTCCAGACAGTCTGGAACCTTCCAGGAAGTTCTGATGGGTCTAATCACATTGGCTATTAGAGTCAGCAGATGGTTGCTTTTCAGACTCATGGTCTTTGACTGATTAAAGAGGCTTTTGTACTTTTTATTTTGATTTAGTTTAACTTGATTCTCTTATGTTTATTACGTTTTCAGGGGTAGGCGAGCACCCTACCTGTTCATAGTCACTGTTCACTGAACAGAAGCCGTGAAAAGCATCAACTGTGGCTTAACACGTGGTTCAGTTTTATACGTTGTATTTGTGAGCGTGCGTGGATCTGGGTGGGGCCTTGACACGTGCGTCGCCTCCTCGGACCCTCGAAAAATGCCTCACACACATGGGTCGCTGCTTGATTTCCCGGGAACAAACGGAAGGGAAGGAAGCCGGCTCATTGTGGGTCTGGGAGGATGAGTGTCTCATAAAGCTGCCACATCCTTCCAACATCCGAGGTAGCTGCCGCCTGAAAAGCATCATCCCTGATTATTGTCGCTGTTTGACCCGTAGATACTACTTTTGAAAAAGAGTTGAGGATCTCCCCCTAAGAGTTACAGCTGGTGCTGTCCTGTCTGAGTAGAAGGATGTGCCAAGTTCCCTCCCGCTCTTGAAGGGAGGGAACACTCGAAAGATCCTGGGGGAGCAGTGGCGGGGGCTCTCCGAACGGGACCACGGGGAGCCACCGGGCCGTGCCGTCCCTTCCTGACCCTTGTGTCTGCGGGCTGGCCCAGACGTCCAGGAGCACTTTGCGGGAAACCGCCGAGCTGGTGTCTGTTCTGATTATGGTTTAAAGATGATTTCTTACCGTGTGTGAAAAATGCATCAAAGACCTTTTCTTGGTTCTGGATCGACACTGGATTTTCAAACAACCTCCTGCAAAAGGGCATTGGATGATGTCACTACACTTTTAGATAAATAGCCAGCTCGACACACCTTGGAGTGTTTTCCAGAAGATCGTTTCTCAAGGCCACAGGCATGCGCGTGCTCCGTGTTCTCACAACGTGTCCTGACTTTCTGTGCTAGAACCCTCTGTCGTAAACATTTTGCTTCTGGGAGAGAGACCCTCACCCCAAACAAGTCACATGCGGAGACCCCTGCTGTTTGGGGGTGGCGAGCTGATAAAAATACCCAAGCGCCCACCTCCAGCAAGACCCAGGCTTTGTCACACGGCCGTGCTCCGCTCACAGCAGCAAGACCAGGCACCGGGCTCCTGGAACTCTGAAGCAAGCCCACCAGCTGGTGTTCCTTCACGTGGGTGAGACTCGTTTCCTGTGTTCCCAGGGCCTGGCACCAGCCCGAGTCACTCTTGGGGGGATGCTGATCGCAGAGCAGAAGCCCCTCCCTCTGGCCCCTCCACCCT